AACCAATCGCCGGCAAATGGAGGTCAAAACGTCAGTTACTTATGACCAGCGTCGTCCCAAATTCAAACGTGAATCAACATTTGTGGTAAACTCTTCCATTTCAACATCGTCAGGCTCGGACCGAAGTAGTAGCTTATCAGTAATCGGGCCTAGGGCAGTTATGGGGCCACGATCTGTGGTAGGTGCCGCCATAATCGATATAACTAGAAGTACTGTGACAACTGCATGCCCACTGGAAAGCGATGAAAATTGCGCAGAGAGAAATTATATCTAAACAAGTGCGAAGAATAATGAGAAATTTTAAATTCTATGCGACGATTTATGAACAATGCGGTAAATGCATTTTTGGTAAGACTGATAAACCATAAAATCAATAATGTTTTTGGTATACAGAAGTTATCTTCGGTTTAACTGAGCGCCTCCAAGGATGAAAATGTTATATAAATGTTACTTTGTAAAGGTTTCCTAAACACATGTTTGTAAAATAATCATAGTGGATTAAGTGCAAAATGAAATAAATATGTACATATTACAAAAAAAAAATATAATAATGCGTTGAGTTTTTATTAATTTTCTGTCTAGGCTTCAAAGAGAACCATTCCGTGCTGAGTGGAATAAAGTGCTTCAACAAGGTTTGCGTGCATACCATCATATTACTGAAGAAGATTTTAAATATTCTCGCAGCACCTATTACTTATTTTTTTTTAGTTCACATCGCTGTACACTATTTGTTCCATAAATTCTCAAATTGCAATTACATAAATACAAACACCATCCAATTTACTAATTTCATTTAAATTGCGTATGTCGTATGTACTTTTATTTAAGGTAATAAACTAATATTTCCAGCAATTTGGTTGTCCATGCAACCATTAGTGGTTAGCTGGACCACCAAATTGACTAATAAACACAAATTTGTATATACTATGGATTTTTAATAATTATAAAATGGTAGGGAATTTCCAGACGCCCGAAAAGACACTACATCGTATCTGCATTACTACGATACGCTCACACTTTTGCTTTCTTTCCGCATCTATTTTTTCATTTCTTCGTTATTTACGCTTTTGTTTACATTTAGGTTTCATTTAAACATTAGTTACAAGTATCTTATTTAAAGTTTTTTCCGCGCAGTTTGTTGTGTTTTTTTTTATAGGTTCGCCGTCATAACATTACTCTTTCTTGTTAAGTATGTATTTAAAAAAATTTGATTTTTTATATCTTATGAATCATTGTTGTTGTTGCTCTGTTGTTATCAACATAAATTGTGTTCCCTTAACATGCGTGTCATTATCGTTACCATAGATTATCATCATTATTACTACAGCATAATCCTTTGCTTCTTTATCATCACCATCTTTGTTGTGATTTTTTTTTATTTTCAATTTTTTTTGTTTTTAGTATAATAAAATAATGTGTGTATATGCTTTCACAATCGGAGTTATTCAGCAGCAACCGGATTTGGTGTTTTCCACTGGACGTCCTTGATCGATTTTAACTTTACTGGCGTTCTCAGTGGCACTTGAAGGCGGCCCAACACGATTCTTTATCTCGGCAGCCATCGTCAAGAAAGCTTGCTCAACGTTCGTTGCATTTTTGGCTGATGTTTCAAGGAATGGAATGCCTAATTGGTTTGCATATTCCTAATATTAAAAAAAAAAAAAACAATTAACATTAACTTATGCATCTTCTAATTAACTCAAATGTGTATGAGGAAACTTACCGCAGCTGTTGTTGTATCGACGACTTTCTTCGTAGTCAAATCACACTTGTTGCCTACCAACAACTTGTTCACATTTTCGCAAGCATATCGTTCGATTTCCTCTAACCATTGTTTTACGTTGTTAAAAGACTCTTGGTCTGTGCAATCGTAGACGACAATAATACCGTGAGCACCACGATAGTACGATGAAGTGATTGTACGGAAGCGCTCCTGCCCAGCGGTATCCCACTGTTATAAAGACAACACAAATTTTGTTTATTTCTCGAATATGTTCTTTTTGAAATACAAAGAGTAGAATAACGCATTTTTCTACTTACGATTTGCAACTTTATAGTTTTTCCGTCCAATTCTATGGTTCTAATTTTCTGCAATGCAATAATACTTTTATAAATATACATACATACATTATTTCAGGTGTATCTTAAAAAAAATTGTACTTACGAAATCCACTCCGATTGTGCTAATATAGCTCTCTGTATATGTGTCGTCGGCAAATCGCAAGAGAAGGCACGATTTCCCTACGCCCGAGTCGCCGATAAGCAATAATTTGAACAAGTAATCACTAGAAGCAAAAAATTAGTTTAAGGTTATTAAAAGAATTTATAAAACATAAAATAAAACAGTGGAAATCATATTTTCTTAGTAAAATGGGGCGTGTAGTTATTGGAGTTTCAATAATTATTTCAGTTTAAGGATATAGATAATATGAATATTCATATGTTATGTGTATAATTGTTATTTGCTGTACAGTTAAGTCCTGTTCTTACTCGTAAAATAAATAGAGTAAATGCTCAAAACGCTTTTTATTGTTTGTCGCATTTCGTTTTCAATTATTTTTTTCCTGTTCCCGTTTAACTTGAGGTCAGTGCAAGCTAAGTAGCGATTCGCGACCGCTGAAGATAGTATTTTTACTGTGGCGTTTATTATGGGTCATAGCAAGTAAGCGTAGAGTAGGGTTGGGAACTTCATCCGGATTTTCCAGCTATCCGGATAAACCGAATATTCGAATTCCGAAGAAACCGCTCTTTTACTTAATCCGCATTGGGCGCTTAGGTTTGATGCAACCGTATATATAAGCAAGGAATTCGCGGCAACACCCGATTTCAATCGTTTTTGATAATATGTAGTTAGACTTAATGATATAATTGAACTTGGTTAGGTACAAATCGATTAAGTGTTTATCGAGGTACACCTTTGTAGTTATAAAGTGGGCGGTGCTACGCCCAATTCCTATAAGTCTATAGCAGTCTTATTTATTGTTAGGATATTGTTGTAACGACTTACTTAAAGTAAATTAGCGTCCTCAGTTATTGAAATATTGGTGTTTTCGTATTTCTGAAATTTGCCGGTATACGGGAAGGGTGTGTAATTTTAGACTGATTTGAATATTTTCAACAAATTACTTTTCCGTACCAAGGTTATTAAGTGCACAGAGTTTGGTGGAAATTGATAAATCGGTTACCGGTTACATTACCGTTTTCAACAATTTGCATCTAATATTTACTGAAATATCGCAGTTTTTGCTCTTTTTGAAAATACCGTTATATGGGAAGTGGGTGAGGTTACAGTGCGATTTCGGCCATTTGCAATCTCAATTTTTGCTCGCGTTATCGTGCACACGGACAGACGGACGGACATACAGACAGACATGGCTTAGTCGACTTCTCTTTTCATTCTGATCATTTATGTATACATTTGTCCATATCTATCTCGATTCGTTTTGGCTGTTACAAACAACTGTTATGCGAACCGTTATGCGTTGTGCACAAGTGCGCTCGAGTATAAAAACTTTGCATACATTGTGAAAAAATCTCTGTGCCAATACTTTTGTAATTTCACAATATTTTCAACTCTAATAATGGATTTCTTAAAAAACAATTTTGTTATTTCATTAACGCTTTTTTGAACTCAATAAAATATGTATGCTGATTTGCTAATTATAAATTATTTTAATATATAATTTTTTTGTTTTCTAATTTTTGAAGTGAAATTGGCAAATTCAACGGAAATTGCATACGGAAATGGTGCAACGGAAATGGTTGGGCTGAAACAAGTGCTTATTGTGTGTATGTATATGGTATTAATTTAATAAAAATTTGCTAATAAAAGGTTAAAGAATAGAAAACGACCAATACAAGAATGAAAGTAAAGGTGACTACGTACATATATGAAGAAAAGGATAAAGGCAAAAGTAACAATAAAAACAAAGATGCGTAAAAGTAAAGGTAAATGGTAAAGGTAATGAAGACCAAGGTATTTTTAAACACTTTACTTATATATGTATGTATATAAGGGCAAAGGTGAAGCGGAATATGTAGATGAAGAAAATGATAAACATAAAGGCAAAGACAAAGAGGAGGATGAGGATACCGATAAAAGTAAAGATGAAGATAGGGGAAGAAAGATTGAAATAAAGATAATTAAAGAGAAAAGAATACAGAGAGAGACACAGAGACTCAGTCTGGGAACTATTTTGTAATTTTAGAGATTTTCGGGATTCTCTGGACTTATCGATAAAATAATCGAGATTTGTATCGGTGTTGTTATTGATATTTTTATCGATTTCTTTATCGAAATTTGTATCGATATTGTTATCAATTTTGGTATCGATATTTTCGTAACTTATGGATATCATAATCGATTTGTTTATCGATTTTGTTATAGATATTTTTATCGATTTTGTTCTCGATATTTATCGATTTTGTTATCGATATCTACCGATTTTGCTATCGATTATTATCGATTTTGTTATCAATATTTATAGATTTTGGTATTGATTTGGTAATGGATATTTTATCGATTTGGTTTTCAATATTTTTATCGATATTTGTCAGTATTTGTCGATTTGATTAGCGATTTTGTTATGGTTATTTTTATCGAGTTTCTAATAGATTTTTCTACCAATATTGTTATCGATTTTGCTGTCAAAATTTTTTATCGAATTTTTCGTCGATTTTGTAATCAATATTTTTATCGGTTTTGTTGTCGATATTTTAAAGGATGTAAGAGTATAAAGATACAAATGAGGATAAAGAAAAACAGAATAACATAAAGAGGGGTAGAGATAGAGATCTAGATAGAAAAAAACGAAAAATATAACGTTAAGCAAAAGCAGATTGGTTATGAGACAAAATAGATATGTATATAACGTAAGTTTCAATTCTCCAGTGTGGCCCAAGCGCAGTTACATTTTTTATTTTTCAGTTAACGTGCAAGCAATCATATTCGAATAACAAAAAATAATAACATTACTTTTAAATTTAAAAAAGATGTTAATGCCTTTTTACCATACATTTTTGGAACTGATTTTTAAAATGTTTAGTTGGAATTTCTCGCAATCAAAGCAGAATGCAGAATGAAAATGACGTAAACAACTCTGCCGCTGTAGTTGCAAGCTCTAAGGTACCTCAAATTTCCTTTACATTTACGAAGAAGAATCTTCTTGAACACTTCAGTACTTATCACACAAGTTATTGTAATTCCTATCGAAATAGTTCCTAATTGCCCTATCGCTTTGGTATCATAAAGACGTGATGCGTGTAAAGAGTACTCCCTAAGGACCAAGGAGTACTCCAAAATTAACCACATTCATATAAAAAATATGGTCCAATTAACATGGCGATGTCCTAGGGCAGGACCATATACTCCATCCCTGCATTACATCAGAGTAGCACAAAACAACTCCAACATATTAACAATGGCATTGTTGTTATATTTTTTTGTTTGTCCACGCTTTTGTTCTTCACTTCTCAAATGCTTTTTCGAAATTAATAAAAACCAAGACAAAAATTAAAAATTACATGTTGCCTCAGCAAACAATTAGGTTTGATATACATTTGAGAATGATTCGAAATCAAAGCCTTTCTCAAATGTCAAACATTTGAAAATGATTTGAAAATTACAGCTTTCTCAATAAAAAGGGGAGTTTTATTAATGATACAAATATTAAAATTATAATTATTATTATAAATATTTTTATCATGGTTTTATCTCCATTTG